TAAGTGAAAGTGGCATGATTAATTAATGAGTAAAGAATTATTAATATCCTTGATGAAGAATAATCATGAATGATTATTTGAGAAAATGACTAAGGAAATTCAAGATGGTATTCTCGTGAAGGATTCAAGTATTAAATCATGCAAGTCACTAACGTAAAACTAGTTTATGAGAAATAAACTAGGGAAATATACGAGCTATAATTAATTAATATAAATGTTTTATTGGCTCATTTGAGAAATGACCAAAGTAATTCAAGTAAAATTCTTATGAAGAATTAAGAAATTCTTAAGTACACGTGCTACTAAGATAATCTAGTTTATGAGAAATAAACTAGAGTAATATACAAGAATGATTAACTAGTATACATGACCTGATTAATATTTTTTGTTAACCTCTAGCAAATTACACGTAGGATGAGGGTGTATGCGTACTCCTCAAGACGGGGTTAGCCCCGAGAATGTAAACTATAATAGTAAGGACGAGTAGTCCTCGAGGTAGGTGAACCTCAGGAGAACCCATTGTTATATTACAACGTGAGAAACGTTAGTTATATTACATACAGTTTGCCCTCGCTAGTACTTTTCTGTAGTAATGATCCCTCGGGGAACCCATTGTTCGGGAGATCGATGGAGAGAAGACGTGATTCGTGCTTCCTCTGGTCCTATTTCTAAATAATTAAATAATGCTCATGGAACTATTTTTGACTTATAAATTAATGAAGCATGCGAGCTCTAGTTTTACCCTTGTGTGAGTTCTTATTAAACACTTATATTCCGCTATGTGTTTAATTGTATGTTGATGTTGTTATGTATGTTTACTAATCGGTTTTGGCATATGTATCTATCGGACGTCTTGTGCAATTTAGTAAGGATGAACTGCGGTTATTCTTATTGGGTTGTACGACGGTTGTCTACGTGGCACAGACACGGTCTGGGGCGTGACAACATGTATCTTAACACCCTATGAAACAAATGGTAAATTCATATAACATAACATATTATAAATTGATTTTATTATATTCTAAAAAGTAAATTTAAATGTGTGAAAAGACTACTATTTACCATACTATTTACCTTCTCATTCATCGTAAACATCCCAATAGATTCAATCTGAGTTGCATTTTTCTGATTAATCCACTACCGGACAATGCATGTCAGGGGCGGTTCTGAATATTTGAGAGCCTATGGGCGAATAATTTAAAATGGGTCTATTTTCAGAAAAAATGTCAACCCCGTTTCTATCTAAATTAACATGCAAAATAAAAATATTCGAAAACCTTTATAATTAAGAAAATACCTGAATTCATTAAATTAAACATAGTCGAATGCATTTTTCTGATTAATCCACTACCGGACAATACATTTCTTGCTGAACATTGTGAAGCAAAGTCATCAACTATAGCTTCACTTCATATATGATCAACTCCTAAATTTTCCTCTGCCATGACATGATCATTCTGAATTGTTTCATTTTCGGTAGCTAAATCATTCATCTCCACTAAGTTCTCATCTCGAGGAGCACATTCAGGATTTACCTTCTTCACACAAACAAACTTTTCCATCAAACCTTTCTCACTTAGGGCCTCTTTTTCTAATCTTTGCTTCCTTTTCTTTTTCTCCCACCCAGACTCAACCATTTTTATTATACTTTGAATTTAATTAAATTTATAAATTTAATAATTGAAACTTTTACCAAACATAATCAATAAATTATACAGTACCACTTAAAACTTACGAAATACAAATCATGTAATCATTGAAAACTAATCATTTATCAACTACTACGTATTTATAAATATTAAAAAATTACTCCGTATGAATCATCAATTATGATCCGTGACAGTAAAAAAAAAGATCAATCGTGATTCATGAATAGATAAAGGAAATCAATAATCATGAATCAATGATTAATGAGATATGAGTATAAACTAATCAAGTTTATCAACTATTCAACTAAAATATTAAGTATATAAAGAAATAACAGATTAATGAAGCCATAAAGGAAGCTGGACTCACTTGAAGTTGTGAAGGCTCAAGGCTGATTGACTGAATTGCTTCTTACTCCTTAGTAATTTGTTGAGGGCTAAGGCGGTGAGGGCCGTGAGGAACTTCAAAGATTGGAGACTAGAGTAACTCTGAGCCGTCTAAGGACTAAGGGATTATGCAGGCTACTACGTAACTCCTTTAGGGCTTTGGGCAGGCATGGGTTATAACTTAGAAGACTGCACTTTTCGCGTAATTCTAATTAGGCGCTAAGCGCTTCCGTATTCTAAAGCATCAGGGCTATTGGGCCGGACAAAAGTGGTATTTAAGGATAAAAACTCAACCTACTCAAACCTATTGCAATCCACGTAGACATGCTTGAGTTCACTCAATGATAATATTTTGGGAGCCATGTGAACATCGAGATACTTCGTAAGATGTGAAGGTTTACTAGATTAGTGTTAGGCCGATATGGCTTTATATGGATGCCATATATTTGACAATTTTTATTTTTATTTTGGGAATATTGAACTTTTGGTCTCTCAATTAGTATCCAAATTAAAGTTTATCCTCATGTTGGATGTGATCCCCCAATTATCCATTTTTTTGTTAGAGCATCTCCCATGCTACAATGTGCACGGTGCACATGTGGCATGTGAGAGATAGACACAACAAATTAAATTTATGATATTTCTCTCTCCTTCTTTTCATGGTTTTGTGTGTTTTTTGTAAGTTTTTCTCAACGATGTCAACCACAATGTCTATATGTACACATTGTGTTTGACATTGTAGAGAAAAACTTACCAAAAACATATAAGACCGTTCGAATAAGGAGAGAGGTATTCTATTCATTATTTTTTAATTGACTATCTCTCATGGCACCAGGTATGCATCATTCACGTTTTTGCATTAGAGATGCTCTAAGTCATCCACGCCCCATATACCTTTGAACTAACATGGGGAATACTACTAATAATAATGTACACAAGCGATGATGAAATTTATAAAAAGAATAGACAATTGAGCGACCACAATTACAAAAACAAAATCACACACAACATTTATATTTTAAGTATTATAATTGTCAAAAAAAAAAACAAATCGATACTAGTCAAATCTTTCTTAATCAAAAGGGAGATTTCCTAAAATAGGAGTAAATGGAGTTTGGAATTTCAAAATAGGACTACTATGTTTTTATTCCCGAAATAAGATTAATAGCACACTATTTATTGTCATCTTTTAGGCGTGACTGCCAAATAGTTGCAGTACAGTGCATTTAACATGACAATATTTATTATAATTAATGACAGTAATTTTCAATCATGACAATATTTTTCATACATGGAAGTAACAACTTCTATATCAGGAAGAAAAACATAGTAATCATATTTTGGAATTTCAAACCTCATTTACTCCTATTTAGGGTAATTTTCCTAATCAAAATCCCGCCAGACTTACAATTTTTGAGTTAGTATAGTACATTCCGTTGTGTAAAATATAAAAGAATCAATATTAATATTCCATCCAGGGGTGGGCATATCAGTTTTTGGTACGTATTTTATCGGTTTCGGTCCAGTTCAATTTGAAACGATTTGGAAGAATTATTACCAAATAAAAACCATATTATCTTTTGGTTTGGTTCGATTAGGTTCGTTTCGGTTTGGATTTGTTATTTTTAATACTCCGTAATATAAAAAGGTTTTATTGAATTTCTTTAGTTCGATTCGGTTTTATTCGATTTTTCATAATTTTGGTTCAATCCGGTTTAATGCGGTTTGGAAGAATTACTATAAAGCTCATACCAAAGTACATATGATTTAATTTCAGTTCGGTTTGATTCGATCTGATACGTTTCGATTCAGTTAAACCGAACCACTTTGCCCACCCGTAAATTTCCATCTTAAATTCTTAATTCTTAACTGAAAGGCTGTGGCGACAACCGGGGTTGGGCCGCTTGAGCGGGTCATTTTGGATGAAGAAGCCTGATGCAAATAGTTGAGCCCGATGATAGTTGGTCCTAATGCTATTGTTTTCCTCATTATTTCATTTCAAATTAATTAATAGAAATTGCCCAATATAGGAGTAAATATAAACATAATTGCACAAATATGAGTAAAACTTAAAACTTCCTTCAATAGGAGTAAACATTAATTTTGTACCCTTAATATCCCTAACCTAGTTAATTCTAAAATATGACTTATTTAATCATAACCTAGTTAATTTATGACTTAATAATAATTTATTTATTTATTTATATTTCAAAAAATAAAAAAATATAAACTTTTTTTAAAAAAATTTAAAACTCAAAAAAATAAAATAAAATTCACCGCCGCCTCTGCCGCCTCAGCACCACCACCTCCAGTCATCAGGGAAAAAAATGCCAATTTCATTACGAATGCCATATTTATGGCAGAAAACAATTAAAATGTTGGCATTTGCAAAGAGAAATATACCATGTTTTTTGACATTTTCAGAAAAAAGACAATTTTTAGGAAAAGTGGAATTTTTTTTCACCGCTCGGATGTGGTGGTGCAGGGAGGTAGTGGAGGCGGTGGGAAAGACATCCATATTTTTTAATTTTTTATAGAGTTTTACTATTTTTTATTAATTTTTTTAAAAAAATAAAAAATTTTAAAAAGTATTTTATTTTATTAATATTTTTTTTAATTTTAATTTTAATTTACTAAAAAGCATTCAGTCGTTTTTATTTTAATTTTAAAAATATTTTTTTAAAATTTTTTATTTTATTAATATTTTATAAATTTTTTAATTATTTTTCTACGATTTTTTGAATTTTTTTCGAATTTATTATGAATTAAACATTTAATTAAAAGTTATTGGGGTTTGGGTTGGGGTATACTTGTCCAAACACTAACTAACTCATATTCAAAACATGGTACTCCTATTTTTGCATTTTGCCTATGTTTTGCTCCTATTTGAGGAACTCTCTCATTAATTAATTTTCCTCATTATTTCATTTCAAATTAATTAATTACGACATAATCCGTATTTGGTTCCTTCTCCATTTAGATACTACGGTCGCCGGGCTCCGGAGTTTCAAATTTCAAAACGACCGTTGACAGAATTTCCCATCGTAACGGAGCATTGGTTCACCGTTCGCTGGAAAGAAAGCGATCAACAAAATTTCTTTACGTGCTTCGCGCTGTCTTTATCAGTACTCGTAGCAGTTCAAATACCATATCTCTCAGCTTTTATCAATGGAAGATCTAAGTCCTCATTCCTGGCAAGACCCCCTTCTTATCACCGACGTTTCTTCTCAGCAATTGCTACATTTCAGCTCATACCCTTGTAAGCATCTCGCACTCGATCTCAATTTCCAAGCTTGATCTCGATTTTTCTCTATATATTGGTTTTCTTTTTTATTTTATTTCATTTCGTCTTATCTAAATTACGCAGGTCCTAATCCACCATTTTCTGGTTTTACATGTTCTCCGGTGCAAGGTAATTTGGATTTCGTTTCCCGATTTTCGTTTTTAGGTTTAGTTCTTGCTGAGGAGTTATATCGTTTGCATAATGCAGTGATCCCAGAGAGTACATATGCTGATCCAATTATGGAAAGTATAATGAAAGGCAGGATTTTCAAAAACTTGCTATTTTTACTATTAACACCTCAGAAGTTTCAAATTTATGGTTCTTTCCTCCATGTTTTGAAATATGAGGAAGGTTTGTTACTCACTTACTCCTTAATACTTATGAGTTTGAAGGGGTTTATTTTTTGTTCATGCAGAAAGAAAGATTATACATGATTATCATCCTGATCCAATTGTAGAAAATGCAATGGGTGGTAGGAATCTCAGCAGACTTGTGATATTTTTTAAAAAAATACATGTTTTGGACTTTTATGCCTGGAACTCCTTGTCTGTCAAAATACAGTGCTGATACAGATTTTCTTTTTTTCCATAGATACTTACACCACAACTCCATATTCAATAGAGCCAGAATTGCAAGGTAATTATAGTTCTTTTCCTCCAAATTTGGTAACCTGAAGTTCTTCTTACTTGTTCTTATGAGTTTGAAGGGTGTGGTTTTTGGTTTGATGCAGAAAGGATCACAGACGCTATTCATCCTGATCCAATTGTAGAATATACAGTGGCAGGTAGGAATTTCAATAAAGTTGCAATCTTCTTTGTTAAAAAAAGAATGGAAGGGTTTTCAAAATTTTGAACTAATATGGATTACTGTCGCATTGGATTAATTAGGCAGGGAGATATTGGCGTTTTCATTAACATCTCCTGATTTGGTGATCTGTTCTGATTCGCCGGAAATTCCCACACAATTCTATGAAGAATCACCTGAAATTTTCAAGTGTGGCTCATTTGCAGTGTCTTTACAGAATGGTTTAGAGGGATCTGAAGCTAAGGATTCTAATGATAAGCCACTTTCTTCTGCAAAGCTTTCAGCTTCATTTTGTGGATTAAAAGATGAATTTGAGCTTCCTCCCCCACCAGTGGTGGAAGAGTTTTCACCAGTCCTCTCAAGCGCTATAGTGAGCATTAATGTTGGACTAGACAAAGAGTTGGGATGTCCACAACTGCCACAAAGCAGTAAGTTTTGGAAGGTAATATTTGAAACATATTCTGTATATATAAACATGAAGTTTTAGAAAAACCTGGTTATTCTTGGTTTAATTGTGTGAATAATTTATTTATGCCACTGATCAGGTCGAGGAAGATGGAGATGTTCAAAGGATGCAATTGGAAAATGGTTGCCAGGAGAAGGAACTCGAGGAAACAAAGAGGCATCTGGAGGAACTTAAATGGCTCAATGAGCAAAAAAGTAGAGAATGCCAAGAAGCACAGAAGGCCTTAGAGGATCTTCAGAACGAGCTCATGCGCAAGTCAATGCATGTTGGATCCCTAGGTACATGAGTGTTTTTTCTCATTGAGATAGTTCAATTTTTTACGAAGGCATAGTTCTAATGTAATATTTTATTAGCTTTTGCAATTGAGGGGCAGGTAAAAGAAAAAACCAAATGGTTCTCTACACTGAGAGACCTGACTAGAAAAGCGAAGGTATAACGCTTTCTATTATCGCGGTTTTATTAGATCCTTTAATGTAATACTGATTCATTATAAGGATTTGTTTACACAGATTATTAAGATGGATCATATTAAGCTCTCAGAAGAGGCTTTGTCATTTAAGCATTACACAGAAGATGTGGCTAACATGAGCTCTCTCATTCAATCAAAGAGTATGCTTAGTACCAATCAATTTCACTTAATTGGTTTCATTGCAATTGCTAATAGTTATAATTGATGGGTTTATGTTTGCACCATACCCACAAATTGGTAACAGTAAAGCAACATGTGGCATTGCATGAAGATCTGAAGGTTAAGTTTACTAAAGGTGCCAAGGAACAAAAGGAGCTCTATAATAAGATTTTAGAATTGAAAGGTATGTGAAGTGTATTCAAATGTTTCAGCGGAAGGGAAAGCTGTAATAACTAATTAACTTGCTGATGACTATTTCAGGAAATATCAGGGTTTTCTGTCGCTGCAGACCATTGAGTGCAGAAGAGATTGCAATGGGAGCTTCAGTGGCGATTGATTTTGAAGCTTCCAGGGATGGAGAGTTAACTGTAAAATCAAACGGGCTGTCTAAGAAGACCTATAAATTTGATGCTGTTTTCACACCCCAAGCAGAACAAGGTAATTGAAGGTTAATTTTCTTTTTAGTTTAAAGGTGCAACTACACCCTTAACATTTGTCTGCAGGTGTAGTTTGACCCTTAAAACAAATAATTTCGTAAACCTGTTGTTTTTTCCATAAAATATATTAAAGCTGCTCGCATTTTGTCAGTTATATGAGCACTTTCCTAAATTAGGCTTTTTATTTTTCCATTTATCCTTTTATCTATCATTTCACTTTTTTACTTTTTATGGACCATATTACTTTTTATTATTCTTTGGGATACAATTGTAAAAGAGCAACTGTATCCTTTATTTTCTTAAAACTCGTGTCAAACCCAAATGCATATTGCATTTTGGGACAGAGTGAGTATTACTTTTATGAACTCTGAATTGTTAGCATAAAAAGGCCAATCTGGATCTGCCTGCAAACATTAAAAGCCAATTTGCATCTAGAGATAAATGTTGGAACATATTATATGTTATTACTTTTTTGCTATTCCTCACCATTTATGTGCACTAAATTATTCTACTGCCCTGTTTTTTGTTTGTGGAAACAGTTGAAGTATTTAAAGACACGGCACCATTTGCAGCATCTGTCTTGGATGGATACAATGTTTGCATATTTGCATATGGTCAGACCGGTACAGGGAAGACTTTCACAATGGAAGGCACAAAAGAAGCTCGTGGTGTCAATTACCGAACTCTGGAAGAGCTGTTTCACATTATTGAGGAGAGAAAGAATACGTTCAAGTTTGAAGTATCTGTCAGTGTCATGGAAGTGTATAATGAACAAATACGAGACTTGTTGGTTTCAGAAACACAGTCAGGAACAACAACCACGAAAAAGTAACTTAAAACTCTTCTATACTTTTATGAGTTTCACCTCTACTTCCTTAACATGCCGTATGATTTCATCTCTTTAATTATATTAGGATATTAGGATTATATAAACTTCTCATTGCATTGGTTATTAAGGATGTTTTTACTTGGACTGTAATTTGCTGGTCTGGTCTGAACTGGTCTGGTATGGTTTCTTTGTATTTTTATAACTATCCAAGTCTGGTCTGGTCTAGGAGGAATTACATTCCAAGTAAAAACATCCTAAATTCAATACGATCATGAGTAATAAATCAGGGTGTACAACTTTCGCAGTTTCGCTAGGCATACTGCGTTGATGATATAGTGAATCATGAATATAGAGCATAGTAGAAGGTACCTGATTTCACTATATGCCCATGCTTGAATGTAATGAGCTAAACATTTCACCTTAAATAAATATTTTTAAAGTACTATAAGTTGTATTGGGCTGTTTACAGATGAACCATCTAATTATCAGCTATAGTTTTCCTTTTTCCAATTATTTTTTCAATTATTAACAAGGAAAAACTAAAGGAAGCAACAGATCCAATTTAGGCTTATATATGTATGTCATGATCATAGAGTTCGCCCCTTTTGGTGAGTCTAAGATTTTGTTAAAAGGGCTAAATGGCTGAAAAAATGAAATAGATTAAATAAAATTGCATCCAAACAGGACAGTAAAAGTGTTCATTCTCTTAGTTGAAGCATTTTAGCCATAAAAGTAATTTATGTGTTTGGTAGAAAACTGAGGCTGATGTGGCAAAAATTCAAGGGTACAATGGAACTGAAACTGAACGTATCTGATTTTCATATGAAGGCTTGAAATAAAGCAAGACGGTGAAGGAGCACATCGTGTTCCTGGACTAGTAGAGAGTCAAGTAAACAATATGGATGAAGTTTGGCAAGTCTTGCAGACTGGCAGCCACGGAAGGGCGGTGGGTTCTACGAATGCCAATGAACACAGTAGCAGATCACATTGGTATGGATCTCCCTATGTGCCCCTTTTGGTTTGTTCTTGACGTTGTTTTTCTAATTAGATGGGTTGTCTACACTGTGTTTAGCATTCACTGTGTGATGGTAAAAGGGGAGAACTTGTTGAATGGTGAATGCACAAGGAGCAAATTGTGGTTGATCGATCTAGCAGGAAGTGAGAGAGTTGCAAAAACAGAGGTTCAAGGTGAAAGGCTGAAAGAGACACAAAACATAAACAGATCACTCTCTGCACTTGGAGATGTGATATCTGCACTTGCAAATAAGAGCCCACATATTCCTTTTAGGTACTACTTCTATCTTAGTTTTTCTTGCACTGCCTTCCCTCCCCTATTTTTTGAGATGAATATGATGTCATTCTAACTAACTCTCTTCAATGAATTGTTTAGAAACTCCAAACTGACTCATTTGCTCCAGGACTCATTAGGTAATATATCTTTTAAGTTTGACTTTCACAAATTGAATTAAATTGTTTCAAAGCTTTAGGACTAAGAGTTTGCATTTCTACAGGAGGGGATTCAAAGACACTAATGTTTGTACAGATCAGTCCTAACGAGAATGATCTTAGTGAGACTCTCTGCTCGTTAAACTTTGCTAGCAGAGTGCGAGGGGTTGAGTTAGGTCCACCAAAGAAACAACTGGACAACGCTGAGCTTTTGAAATATAAACAAATGGTAGCTTATCCAGATGATTTTTTATCCTTTTCCCGTGACTACAACAAGTTATATAGCTTTTTAAGACCTGTTCTCCAACTGTTTTAACCATCTTTTTTCAGGTCGAAAAGAATAAACAAGATATGAAAATGAAAGATTTCCAATATAAGAAGATGGAAGATACGCTTCATGGACTGGACATGAAGTTGAAAGAGAGAGACCTAAAAGCTAAGAATCTTCAAGACAAGGTATGTTATTAAAACCTGAAATTCCATCTTAAAATAATAAAATATAAAAAATGATAGGACTTGTCTAATGTCTTACATGTTTTTTTGTTATTCTATATTCAGCCGATGTAGACAAATTCTTCTTAACAATCCAAATCTTTAGAACTTATGAACTACTCCCTCCGCCCCATAAAATTCTTCCCACTTACCTTTTTGGGATGTCCCAAAAATTCTTTCCGTTTCCCTTTTTGGAAAGTTTTGTGTGGCTAACATATATTTACCTTTTTCTTACTCAACCACAACCATACATTTTCACTTTATTCCCACTTTCTTAAACTCCAATCCAAGTCAACCGGAAAGAATTTTATGGGACGAAGGGTATGATATTCTTGAGGGAGGGTATAACCATTGATTTTGGAACACATGAAGTTTATGCATAGTTTGATGCACTTTCAGATGAAAGAACTTGAATCACAGCTTCTAGTAGAAAGGAAACTGGCGAGGCAACACGTGGACTCCAGAATTGCTGAACAGCAGCAACATTTGAGACAACAACATGATGATCAAAATGCTGCAAGGCCTCCGTTTGCAGCCAAAACCACCCTAGCTCAAATGAATCTCAACCGTCCACTTGCTGAAAACAATAAGTACAATCTCACTGTGGCCCCCACTCATCCGCAACCTCCCCTTCCTAAGCAAATCGACGCAACAGAAAAAGAAGGCAAGGAAAATATACCCGGGATTGAACGTATACTTCTGCCTAAGCGGACTGGTAGAGCTTCTCTATGCCCAAATTTATATAAACTGCCTGCTGTATCTGCCCCACGACGTAACTCTCTAATCCCATTGCCAAGTGTTACTGGGGTTGCCAAGTTCACACCTTCATTTTTACCATTGGAAACAATTGAAGCAAACGAGGAAGAGGATTTTGACAATGTTGATGGAAAATGCTTACCTGAACCAGTCCGGGGGGATAGTCCTACAGAACATAATTTTGAAAGTAAGAAATATAACGGCGTCTTGAGAAGAAGTATTCATAAGAGAATTCAAACGAAGACCCCAATGCAACAAATCCGAAGAGGAGTAAATGTAGGAATGGAGAAAGTTAGAGTTTCTATTGGAAGTAGGAGGGTTGCTCATAGGGTTTTACTTGGTAATAATGCTAGAAGAGTAACAAGGGAAGGACAACAGAAACAGAGCCTAAAAGAAAAGGAGAGATGGTGGAATGTTGGAACAAGGGGAGCAGTTTTATGATCTCTTTTCTGGCATTAATCTTTTCCAAAGTTGATTTCATTTGGGTCTTTTAGGGAGGGGAATTCTTTATTGAATCTGCATTGACTATGATGATTGTTGTATATAGTGCCCTTCTACTAGTTTACTCCAGGGTTTTTAATTATTTGTCTGACTACGAAGTTGTCAGTGTGCATAATGATTTTACCTTTAAATCTTAAATTGATTGAATGAGTCCCCCCGAAAACGTGTCTTTTACCCAATATAAAAATCATGATTTGTAGTTCATATTTTTAAAAGTTATTTGTTTGTTTAACTAAATTTATCATATGCAAGTGATGCAACTCACATGTGTCTCCCTTTATATTATTTGTTGATAAATTACATGGAAAACGTGATTCATTCTGTCAAAGTGAACTTTTTTGGGACAAAAAATGTGTCAGAACTCAGAAGCAAGACCTTATTTAGGGACAGATAAGTTTTATATGCGACTTTTACTACAGTACTAGATTTGCCACGTGCAGAAGGGGGGGGATGTTCAGTAGTATTTTGGTTGGGTTAATAGAATGGAATGTTGGTAGTTAGTGTGATTGAGATGTATGAAATTGCACACAAGCAGTACAGTGATGTTTTCTACAGTTATAAGGGTTAAAATTGGATGTCACACATGACACATACTCACAAGTACATAACAACACATACAAATATAATATCAATGTGCTAAAAACAATCTTTAAAAGGGTGGGCTGAATTGTGATGTTTGTATTGAGTGCAGTACATGTTTGACAGTTTTAATTTGTAATTTAAATCAAATAAGTGCAGAAGGGGTGATGTTTGTATTGAGTGCAGTACATGTTTGACCAATAAGTGCTCTTCACTATCTATACAATAACTGGGTTTTTAATTGTTTTGTAATATCACACTGATTGGTATTTTCAAACTTTGATTTCTAATTCTGTCTTTTAAGGATATAATTACGCTTTATGATACCTTAAAATTTTAAGCATATTTAGCCTATCGATGTCTACACTTTCTATCTTTAAGGTTTCTTTAAGCCTATTTGGTCATTGTCTTTTTCTCTCTCTCTTAAGCTTGATAACATCTTCTAATCTTTCTCTGAATAAAATTAATATTCAGGAAAATTAATGCTCTTGGATCCAAATATGTTTAGTAAGTGTGTTTGCATAAATAAAAAATGCCCTTGAATCTTGATAGATGCAGCCCCTGGAAGGCCACTGCCCCCTACACTTACGTAGGTCACTGCTTTCCCCTCTTGGCAGTTCAGATTACTGCCTTGACCCATCCCAACACAGTACCAAACGTTATTAAAAGGATAACTGCATTGCCAAATGAAGAAACTACAATACATAATGGTACTTCACCAATACACACTTTAAGAGGATACCTGCACTCACAAAGTAAGAAAGCAAAACACATGACGCTACTTTCCCCAATTTGAGAGCTATCTATATCAAGGAAATCATGTGGCCCAACTAAAAGCCCACACAATGAAGTCCTGGAGACATGGAAGATGTGATGAGAGCATTTTGTGACATGAATAAGGCTTTTTTTTGAATAAATTTTTTTTTGCTTTTAAAAAGAAGCATTTGACAAAGAAGCTTCTGAAAAGGAAATGAAAAGAATGCTCATAATTCTAAGAAAGGTGAAACACTTTTTGTGCTTAAGGGAAAGCCCAACAATGCCACTTTTTGTGGAAAGCACTTTTCTCATTAATGTGAGCACTTTTAGCAAAGGTCATTCCTAAAATGGTAAAGAACACATCTATTATCTGTTAATGTAATATCAGGAAACAAATAATGATATTTTATTGTCATATGATGTGTTTGAATAAGAAGAGAACACACTTCGGAGATGATAAAAAACTCTCAGTGATAAGGTGAAAGTTTTAAAAGCCATTTCCCTAAATGGACAAGGCCTTGAACAATTTGAACCTACAACAGGAAGAACACAATCAATTATTAATACATTCTATAAAAGAAGCACAAGAAGACCATCATGTATATCTAATAGGAAGACGAGTAAAATATCCTTACACGAAAGAAGGTTAGATTCCTTGAATTCGTAACATTATAAATTGTGCAACATCCTAGCCATCCTAGCATCATTAGTTCCCGCCCCTATCAATCCCAATGATTATGGCCGCATGTGCCTTTCAGAAAATCATTCACTAATGGCTGAATAGGTATTATGAGATCTGACTTAGAAACTATCTCTAGATAACAATCACCATAGCTACTTCACTGTCAGAATCATGACTCAGCCTGCTTAGGTCTGCATAACATTGACCTGTGTGATAGCAGGTAAGAAAATGCATGTTAGGAAGGAATAATAAAATATATCAATTGGAGGCACAACCTAAGGAGGACAAAGAAGAAGAAGAAGATGATAGATGCTGATGGTGATGATGACAATGATGCTAATACCAATAATAATGATATTGATGACGATGATGATGATAACAACAACAACAATAATAATATAATAATAATGTAATAATACATGTGGGGGTTGAATTTGAATATTTGATAAGTCACCTTTGGATTTGATGTGCAAAGGAGGCTGAGAGCCAAAGGAACTGCTCTTTTGATGTTCCATTCACCATACTGCAGAAGATGTTCTAAAGACCGTATAGCCATTTCAGCCCCTAGCTCTTCAGCATTTCCACCATATCGTCCATATCATAAGCACAGCAGGTCCCCAGTAGATTTCACCCTTCTCAAGATGTTGGGCACATTGACCAGGGTGGTATTGTACCTGGGATAAAAAGACTATTATCAACTAATGTGTCATAGGGAAAGACTTTTTTTAGGTCACTCATTTGATTAAAATACAACCTGAAGTGCACTCCCTATTCCGGCATAAGCACAAGAAAGCAGGATCATATCAGAGTATTCCTTCATCTTCTCATTGAAACCCTCAAAACCTCAACTGTGGCCTCCACTTTGTCCTGTTAGTGACTGACCAATGAACGGAGAAGAAGATAATGAATCAAGTGCTTGAGGGCATAGAGAGTTAATATCTGATTCTGTCCATTAGCACATACATACAAATAGTTACTCAAACAGCTAAACTGAAGGATTGGCAAAATACTCAAAAATCTCTCTTAATGTTTCAGCTATCAAACTCAGAGAACAAGCAAAATATAACCTTTCGTTTTCTAAATTAAAATATTAAAATGCATATAAAGCACCACACAGCCCTATATTCCAAACTTCTGTGTTTGCTGGCAGTTTTTTCGAACCTCTATCTAGCTGGTTTATATTAATGTATATGAAATAAATGTAATTTTTAGTCACTCGTTCAATAGTTACGTAAATGTATTCCACAGTACTGGTAATAGGAAACCGCCTATTGAAATCATGCGGACAAATCAATAGTTACCAATCCATGCATATTCAGTTTCATTTAGACTTGCTAAATAAATATATAAAACTAACTCATACTGGATTGCTTGGATTTTCATGAAGCTGTGAAGTTATAACAGACTAGCACTTTTGAATTGGAAACAACATAGAGTCATATTCTGTATGAATTGGAACACTGACCTTTACGTATGGTAGTCAAAGTAGACACGACGTAGTTATTAGCGACCTTTTACTAAGATTTTTGCTTTCGAACTATTTCTAATCCTAACTATTTTCTTTTTGTATCAATCATTCCTTATAAAAGGGATTATGTATAGTAAAGATATGTTTGTACTACACTGGAAAAGTAGTATCCATACACATACTCAATATTTCAATCAAAAATATATTGAGATTATTAACTTATTAACAATATCAAGTTATCAACATACATAAACTTATACAGTTCATAGAATATTACTTATTCTGTAATGTGATTTGGAAAATTCTTTACCAATGAATACAATTCCCCCCTTTTCTTCTAAACTAGGTTGTTCTTATACAAATCTGGGAAACTGAGTTTGCATCAAAGCGTTAGTGGGGACAGATCCAGCCCAAACCAGGTTTTTCCTTGTAGTCCAATGGAATATGTGAAACCTAAACATTATAATCATTGGATGTTATTCCCTACCATCAAGATCAAAATATTTGCATCTGATCTATTTTTATTAGAATAAACTATAAAGTAATAAACTTGAATATATCAACTTAAGCTTGTAGATCATGGTCTTTTATTGCCACATAATTTTGACTGCCTTCATAAATCTAACAATTGACTAATTCAAAATACAGACCGACATGAGCTACATGTAAGCAGAACACTGGTCATATGAAAGTAGAAAACTGTATTACTCAAAAAAATCTTCCGTAACACCACAGTACTAATACTATAAATTATACAATTCATCCAATGACGTTTAGTGAGAAAAAATTTATTACTAATCTGGATGAAATGAACGTCAATATGCATGCATTCATATAATTTGGGAAGTATAGTCTCTCAATATACATATATTCATGTTATTTAATGGAAATTGGCATATTATGTAGATTAATAACAATATTATGTAGATTAATAAAAATATATATTATGTAGGTTAATATTAGAGGAAAAATATCCAATGTGAAAAACGATTCCCTCTTTTTCCAAACCAGGTATAATTGCATTAGTTAAACCCAAATCGCATAAAATCATAAGCGGGGAACATATTTCATGATTTATACTTCGCGGCCTGATGATATGTATGAAACCAGGAAAGCATTTATCATATTATTCTTCCCTACCCCAAACTACAATGTTAAAGAATCCAACACACTACCTACCCACCCTTCAAGGTAAAACACCATCTATTCTATTTCATATTGGAATTAACTTGAACCATCTATTATTTGTCTTATTGGAATTAACTTGAACCCTTATTCTCATTCACTATTATAAGATTTTAAGATTAGTAAAATAAAATCATGAATAATATATGCCTGCATGCTCACTGCGACCACTGTGCTACTAAAAAGTTACATTTTTTGTCCACTAGCTTTTAGTTAATACAATTGTCATCATTAATATATACAGCATGATGAACATGGTGTGTTAAATTTTTATGGTGTTCAATGATAAACATTAGAATTAGAGTAATGGAGCTCGGTAGCCTAGCAGAGTGCTAACATACAGAATATAAACATACACTTGAAAAGTATGTATTCAGAGTGCAGACATCTCTATGAAGCATTGGTCATGCCACAATATATGAGTCTACAAAATCATAGAAACATAAATATGCATTGCGGAAAGCCGTAAATGAGAAACATGAAACCGCAAAGATGAGGCTACAAATATTCATCGGTGGTTGAAAAGAAAAAAAATACAAGATTCAATGATATGCTTACAAACTTAACATTGGATGTCAAACATATGTACATGCACTCAACTATGTGTGAAATGCTTGCTATGTGCAAGTTCACCTTTGCCAGATGAACTTGATCTAGTGACTTCAAGTATTCTGTAACTCCGAATCTTGGATATCATTAGGTGAAAAGAATATAATCAGGTCACACCTTAGAGCATGTGTATAGATAGATACCACAGTATCTGCTCTTGATATTTATCTTCTATGCGAAACCAATGGATCTCTGAGAAGTAGCTAGTTAGAGGTAAGATGCAGCTTAACTAACTGCTGTGCTTACTGCTTAGGATTAGTTGCACCACTCTTAATATTAGATTGGTCATCATCATCTAACGGAGTTTCTGATGATGGAGAAGGCAACGAATTGCTCGTTGCTTCCCTGACATCAAGCAGCATTGCAACTACTTGCCTCATTGTTGGTCTGTTGAGAGGAGATATATTAGTACAGAATAATGCGATCTTGAGAACCAAAGTCATCTCCTCCATTGTTCTTCCTAGAAGAGGATCAAGCCGTTTGTCAAGTATATCAGAGATAGAAACCCCTCCATGAACTGCTCTTCTCACCCAACTCACTAGATCTCCACCTCGCTCAATGTGCTCAACTGGAGATCCTCCAGTAACTAGTTCCAGCAGAACAACTCCAAAACTATATATATCAGATTTCTCTGTGACTTTCAATGTGTAAGCATATTCTGCAATGAAATTTGAAACTCTGTATTAATAACTTATACAAAATCAATAAACGCTGTAGGACAAAAAAATCAGTGTTTGTTTGGGATGACTTTTGGAATACATTAAAGCACTTTTTCCAAATTTTGAAAAGGATATATATTCATGCTATTACTGAAAAAAGATGATTTAATTGAATTGAAATAATTATCTTGTAGCTTTTTATAGGGGTTAAAATCACTTTTCTCAACAACTTTGAGAAAAGTACTTTTTAGGAAAAGTGTTTACTAAAGCTATCCCAAAGAGAGAGTTTAAAAGTTGCCTTACCGGGTGCAATATAGCCATATGAACCAGCTACAGATGACATTGATTTTGAGTATGGCATGTCAATTAGCTTTGCCAACCCGAAGTCACCAACATGTGCCTCAAGCGTATGATCCAATAAAATATTGTTTGATTTTATGTCACGGTGGATGATCCGTGGCTTACAATCATGGTGGAGGTAACATAGACCCTCAGCTGCTCCAAGAGCAATCTTGTACCGCTCATTCCAGTTCAGTATACAGTTTGCTTTATTCCCATGAAGAATCTCTCCCAGACTTCCACTTTCCATATACTCATACAAGAGAAGATTAGAGTCTTGGTGGTAACAGTAGCCATAGAGTTTCACAATATTTCTATGATTAATATTTCCAAGTGTTGTTAGTTCTGCAGTGAAGCTGCTCTCTATGTTTCCTCCTCCTCCTCCTCCTCCTCCAGATTTTAGTTTTTTAACAGCAATCACTTCTCCATCATTCATTACAGCCTTGTAGACAACACCACAGGCTCCTCTTCCTATAATAGCATCTTCTGAAAAACCTTCAGTGGCTGTGACAAAGTCCTGAAAAGTGTATTTTTTCCGGAGAATGTGATAATCATTCATGGAATCAGTGTCCACTCGATTGTCTACTATAACAATGGCTCTTGTATGGCTCTTCATCATCCAACATACACCGGCAATGAAGATCAAAGACACAAGTCCAACAACTCCTGAGCAAATGATAATTATTTTCTCTCTGTACGTAACTTTCTCCATCCAACTTGAATTAAGAGCTGTTATTGGAGTTGGGGAATGGAAGCAAATAGGCGAATCCAATGTGCATAAACCTATATTTCCATCAAAGTTACTGGAGTCCATTTTCCGAAAGTTGGTTGTGTTTGGCACTACTCCTATCAGGTTATTGTTAGAGAGGTTGCAAACGCTTAGACTCTTCAAGTCACCTATTGAACCAGGAATGTCACCGGTGAGTTGATTGTCATTCAAGTATAGTGACTCAAGCATCTGCAAGTTCCCCAAATTTCCAGGAATTGATCCAGTGAGAGCGTTATGGCTAATATTCAAAGAAATTTGAAGTGCTATGAGTTGACCAAGCTCAATAGGGATTTCGCCAGAAAATAAATTTCCACCCATTTGCAGTTCAGTGAGTCTTACAAGTTTTCCCAATGTATGTGGAATATTCCCATTTAATCTGTTGTCTGATAGCTTTAGCAATTCTAAATTCACTAACATGCCTAGTGCATCAGGGAAGTTTCCGGTAAACCAGTTATTGCTAAGATCAAGCCTCTGGAGCTTGATACAACCACCCAACTCACGAGGAATTCCACCAGATAATCTGTTTGAAGAGACATTGAAAGTAACAAGCCTAACAAGTTTCCCTATCTCAGGAGGGATAAGCCCAAAGAAATAATTTTCTGACAGGAGAAATCTTTGTAACCTACTAATGTTACCAATATCTGAGGGTAAAGGTCCAGTGAACCGGTTCTGATAGAGCTCAATAGCAGAAAGGTTCTGAAGTTTGCACAGCTCAGTAGAAAGAGTGCCGGTTAGCAGGTTACCTCCTAGCATCAGCTGCTGAAGAGACTTGCAGGTTTTTAGGCTGTGCGGTATGTTTCCAGACAACTTATTTGAACCCAGGCTAAGTATTCTCAGTTTATGGGACCAACAAAGTTTTGGAGGGATGCTTCCTGTTAGATTGTTGCTAGACAGGACGAGAACAGACAGGTTGGATTTCAGCCCAAGTAATGGCGGGATAGTTCCTTCAAGATGATTGTCAAAAAGTTGGATATTTTCCAAGAATTCAAGATTCTGAAACCCCAAAGGAATCGTACCAGTCAAATTGTTTATCGACAAATCCAACTTACGAAGTTCCTTTAATTCTCCAAGTTCTCTTGGGATATTTCCATGCAGGAGGTTTTCAAAAAGATAAAGCAGCTGGAGATTAGAAAGTTGACCCATTGATTTCGGAATATTCCCAGTGAAGAGATTTTCAGAAAAATCAATCGAAATAACACCAGAACAATTCCCAATTTCCCATGGAATTCTTCCATTCAAATGGTTTCTGTATATGTAGAACCATTTCAGCTTTGTTAATTTTCCTATCTCTCTTGGAAGGGGTCCAGTGAATGAATTATCATGCAGTGCAAGTGATTCCAAGTTACTGAAATTCCCTATTTCAGTAGGAATCACTCCCGACAGAGAGTTCGAACGGAGGATCAAGGTAGTGAGACTATCAAGCCTTTGAAGTGCCACAGGAAAAGATCCCTCTAGCCTATTCTCTGCCAACCCAAGCACTTGTAAAGCCTCACATTCACCCAGGTCGGCAGGAACTGGACCTGAAAAATAATTTTTGCCTGCCCTGATAAACCTAAGCCTTTTCAGTTTACCAATCGATTTTGGAATCCTTCCAGTGAGATTATTACTGTAGATTACAAGCTCCTCTAGGAGAGTTATGTTTCCGATCTCTTCGCCGACTTCTCCATATAAATCATTCTCACACAAGTAAAGCTTTCTAAGGTAGATCATATAAGACAATCGGGAAGGGAAACTATCACGGAATTTGTTGGTGCATAGGTCTAACACCTCAAGATTTTGGCAATGCACAAATTCAGGAATATTACCAGAAATTGAATTTGCAGAGACGTTGAGTTCAGTCAAAGAGGGAAGCTGGCAGACGGTTGAAGATAAGTTTCCAGTCAGATTGAGGCCATGAAGATGCACAGAAGTTACACTGTTATATTCATTGCAAGTTATACCAACCCAATTGCAAGGGTTCAAACCAGAAGAATTCCAACTCTGGAGATTGTTGTCAGGGTCCATAAGGGAGCTTTTGAACTCCAAAAGGGTGACTCCTTCCTGATTAAGTGATTCAGTGAGGCTGCAAATTACAGAAACCAAGAACATTAAAAGCAAGTGCTTTTGGGTTCTGAAACTTGAATTGCTTTCCATTTGAGAGATTTCAACAAACATGTGGCGCGCCCTTAAAAAAACTGGCTTCATGTCACTGGCATGAACAAAAGGTGGGAGGTTGTATGTGTATGGAACCAGAGGAGGACAGGAAGCAAGTATAGCAAAACATGATAACTTTAATAATTACACCAAGAACCTAAACTTGAGCACATTCAAGATCAATTGAGCAAAGCAACGACCTCAATGATTGACCATCAATAACAATTAAGGCAAAAACAGCTACTAAACCTCACAAACTTATAACCCACATTTAGAGTAATGAACTAATGATCAAAAAAGGTCTGAACTTTGAAGAGTTTGTTATAGTTGGACATTTAATACGATCAAGAAAAACGTTTTTGATATAGATCATAAGAAGCATGCAGTCAATAGTGACAAAATAACAAGCATGAAAAGGGAGGTGCATACGGGGTGGGGTGGGGGACTGGGGGCGGGGTGGGGCGGGGTTCTACCAACTTAAACCATTGAACCGAAGCACGCAAGGGAGGGAAAGGAGTTGTCATGTCAGCCGGGGCCTAACATTATCTTCAAATCAAACAAGCAATAATTTTGTTTGTAATATAAATTTGATATTAATTAATTAATTAATGGGTTAGTGTTAGAACTTAGTAGTGTTAGAATATGTGATACCATTAAGGCATTAATTAATTAATTAATTCATTTAATCAAAGTGACTTATTTAGAAGAGAAGGAGATAATGGAGAAGGACGATGCATAGAGGATGCCACTCTTTCAATGCTTCCTTCTACGGATAGGAAATGCTTCTTAGAGAAGATCATAAAATTCTTTTATTTCAAGATTGAATTGAGTTTCCACATTCATACCATGTAAAATTTGTCCAAATCTGAAAAAAATTTGAATAATTAAAGGTAGAAAGTTGACAAAGTTTTATGAAATATACTCCCTCCGTTCCTAAAAATTCTTCCCAGTTTGACTTGGCACGCTTATTAAGAAAGTGGAATAAAGTGGAAATGTATGGTTGTGGTTGTGTAAGAAAAAGGTAAAATGAATGTGAGCCACATAAATTGTCCAAAATGGGAAAGTGGGAAGTATTTTTGGGAACAACCCAAAAAGGAAAGTGGGAAGTATTTTTGGGAACGGAGGGAGTACTAAGTAGTAGGAGTATTAAGTTTTTAAAGATTGAACATAATTTCTTAATTCATATGTTGCAATATGCCAATACATCAGTAAATATTAAATTTAAATACGTAGTATCATTTTTATCAAAGTTGATTATGATTTTCCAATTCATAATATGAACTCGTTAATTCATGTCAAAAAAATGAACTCTTTAATTATTAATATATCGAAATTTGGATTCATCATTTTCTCAAATTATGGAGCAATTGACGAATTTTAGTATTTTATGATTGATTGAATCATATCTTAAACAAAAAAGGGTGATCTAATTGCTTTTTTTGATATGTTTAGTCTTACTTCTAGCACATTTTCACTGCGTAAATGAGGGGAATGATTTCATATATGCAGCATTATTTGTAGAAAATTACTTAAAATGAAGGGGAACGGGTGAGTCTCCACCCAAGAACCTTTCAGATGTAAACTTATCTTTTCAAATACTCCCTCACATCCTAAATAAATTTCACATTTTCCTTTTTGGGTCGGTACAAAATAAAGTTCACACTTCTTCTCCCTTCCTTATTTGGCAAATTATCTACATCAAAACAATGCAAAACAGTGTCAAACAGTGCCAAACAGTGTTACAACAGTGTGTTCTACAGTAAAGTCAAATTTATTTCCTTAATTTGTGTGAAGTCAGACACTGAACTTTATTTAGGATTAGAGGAATATTTTGGGAAAGGCACATTGGGATAGAAGAAGGGTTGCAACTTTTCTCTAGTTAGAGACTTAGAGTACTATTTATCCCAATCGTTACCTATGTGGCTATGTTATCTATAACAAGAAAAAACTGAAAGTACAAACTCTCTTTTCCATTCATCTTCTTCATGCATCATTTGGTTCGCCAGTGTCACTGGGAAAGGGAAAATCATTATATCCTGGGAGACAATTGATAGCGGGGTAAATTTATCTCGTCGTCAATTTATTGCTCTTCTTATTGTTAAAAAATTTTAGATAAACAAATAATAAGGAATTACTATTTAGAGAGAGAGAAAATGATCTTGCCAGATCAGCCAGACATAAGTGATCTATTTGGTGTGTTTCCCGGTGTAATGTTTTGATAAAATTTTCTGAGTATATTTCCACCGAAAAGGTCTTCAATTTGAGACAACCGGACAACGTTTATTATTAAGGCTCAAAACTATGAAAAGGCCGGGTCCTATATTGATGATGGATACTTCGTATTTACTTCGAAAGTGCTCTATTCCTAAAAACATATTTTTATAAATATAGGGCGGCAACTTGAATAATTAATTGAATGACCCCTTCATTAATTTTTATATTTCAATTGGCCTCTAATAAGCCTCTTACTCTATTCGTTTTTATTTCTTAACTGAAAAACTTGAAATCCTATCCAAAACTTGTATAATAATCGCACTATAGTGACAAAATAACCCTGGCCACCCTTTCCTTTGCTCCGTCTACTTGGTCTTTCTCTCATGATTATTTCTTGAGTTGCTGATAAGGATCTGGTATTCCACTCACGTACAACTATGCCAGTATAGGTAATTACACATGTCTTAACTACTTTTTTTCCTCCTTCAAATGTGACATTAACGTTGTTAGTGGGATTTCATCGCATATAAAAATTTGATGACAAAACAGGGATAGATATAAAAATAGTGTTGGCCAAATGGAGCTGTTGGATTTCAAACTCATAATTCTGTTTGCTTTTGAACAATTTCAAAAAAAGGATGTAAGTTGAACTATAATCTCAATCTGAGATATAGAGAGTGAAGCTCTGTCTCTGGTACTTGCAAAGGTCATATGCATTTTTTAACATAGTAACATCTCATCGCAGTTGCCGGGATTCGAACTCATGACCTAACCCTTGTGACACTCCCTAACTATGAGTTGAGCTACGCCCACCAGTATGCTTTTGAACAATTTCAAAGACGGCTTGTTTAGGTCATTTATTTAGAGCTTGTTTGGTAGTCTATTTTCTGACTTGTCAGCTAATTTCTTTGTCAAATTCTAAACTTTTTATTCCGGCACTAAACTAAATCACTTATGTAATAATCAATCAAAATACATGAGGTCGCGGTTACATTACAATTTGAATTTGTTGAAGTTGACTATGTACTTTATTTTCTTTCGTATATTTTTCTTTATTTTAATCATAATACAAATTTTAAATATAATTTTTTCTTGATTCATCGGATTCAACTATTCAACCACAACCCAACAGTTTTACAACTTTGCTTGGTATACATCAAATATGTTCACAGAGTTGTCTGTGAACAGACAACTTGTCTACCGGAGACAGACATATATACACAAAAAGTGTACACATTTGGTGGACACCAAACATTTTTGACAGTTTTATTAGATTCCTCAAGTCTTGGCGCCTCATTTTAAGTGTTACGGCCGTGTGACCGAGAGGTCATATATTCAAATTGCGGCCTTTTATCAAAATTTGATAGAGAAATGTTTTCCTCCTTATACAGTGGGACCTTTCCACATACTCCCGCCTTGTGGGAATTGCCTTCGTGCACCAGGCTGCCACTCATGTTAATATTTGCTCCGTCCCAAAAAATTCTTCCCGCTTATCATTTTTGGACAATTTGTGTGGTTCACGTTCATTTCACATTTTTCTTACACAACCACGACCATACATTTCGAGTTTCTTAATCTCCGTGTCAAGTCAAAGTGGAAAGAATTTTATGGGACGGAGGTAGTATATCAATTCCAGTTTTTACCGAACAGATTTTTGATTTCTTAATCGGAATGTGTGATGATTTAGTTGAAGACCCTTGACCAGTGGAGGAGTGTATATGCAAGTATGTGTTTCTTCATGATGGGTTTGGTAAGTGGTATGCAGGGTAAGAAGATGGACCCAGAAACAAATGCCAGCAATGACTATACACTATTGTGCTTTTTCTCCTTACCACTTGATGAACGTACAGTTGGACTATGACTCATAACTCATTTCATGTTCTCATTGGAAAAAAAGAATGAGAATAGTCAAGATAAGACTACTTGGAGTCGGGTGGGAGTCTAAATGACAAAAATGGATTCAGTCTACATGAAATTGAAAACAGTGTTTTGACTCATATTTTTTCTGCATTACAGCACCGTCAATAAAATACACTCTGCATATTTTTTTACATATCAATTTAGTAAAACATTAATTAAATTATAATAAGTAATGTTTTCTTTTTAATTTTTTCTCTGATTAATTATAAAATAAAAAAAGACACATTTCGATGTGAAAATAAAAAATTTCATTAATTTTTTAACGTTTTCGATTAACAAAAACTGAATTTAATTCAAGTAAAGATTGATTGTGGAGTATTCAATTATTTGTGAAGGTTCCATTAATTAAAAATTTGTGTTTCGTGTTTTTTGGGAGCTCAAACAAACTTCAATGGTTAAAATTTCAGTTTTTCCCATTTTATATATTACATATTGGTTCGTATGAAAGATCATAAAAAATAAAAAGTTATATAAGTTTTAAAAAATTGAGATATTATGATGCAAGGATGACATTTGCATGACATCATCTGCACAAAATAAACAACCTTGCACCCGTCCTTTCTCTTATTTTTTCTTTCTTTTCCCTTTTCCATCTGCCGCACACAAGTTGGCCGCCCTCACTCCCCTTCATTTTTTCTTTTAGCCCTCCTCCTTGACACCCTTCAAATATACCCTCTTCATCCTCTTCTCCATTTTTACTCCCTCATTTAGCCAACCACAACAAGGATTTAACATTTTGGACTCCTAATCCAACACCACTCCAAGTGGTCTAATGATTCAGGTTCAAGAAAGTATGTGTTGAAGTATTTGTCACACACCGGAAAGCTATAAAACAATAAAACAATATATAAGGCTTTGGACTACTTCTCCTATCAAGTTGACATTTTAGGATGCAACCCCGTGTCTTAACATGGTATCAGAATCAAGTCCGGTTGTGGTTTGACTGCTTGTTTAGCACTCATGATTAAGGGTAGCTTGTTAAGGGTCTGTCATTTGTCCCACATCGGAAAGCTATAAAACAATAAAACACTATATAAGGCTTTAGACTCCTCCTCCTATCAGGTTGACCTTTTAGGATGAAACCTCGGGTCCTAACAGTATGATATATCATTCATTATATCTTGGTGCAAATCAATGAATCATCGGTACACACACAGGTATTTTCAAAAAAGTTATCAAAATAAAACTTATTTACAAAAATATGACTAATAATTACTATATTGTAGTATCATGTTAACTTAAGTTTATGAAATGAATATAAATTACTATGATTTCATTACATCTCTAGTCATTAGCTAGTC